CTTTACTCCTTATAAGCATACAGTTTTTGTTTTGTTCTTACTTTTTATTTAGAAAGGTCTCTAAATTGTCCATTTATTAGTAACCTCTGAGCAACTAGAAAGCACATTCAGGGACACCAAGTCTGGTTTCCAAACCATCTTAAAACGATACTTCTCGTTCACGTGTTAGTGTGTTGCTTCTCTGAAGTAAAACTGAGTCAAAGTGATTTTTTTTTCAGTCAGTAGGAATAGTAAATCAGAACATATGGACCAGGAATGACCAGCAAGCCTTCTAGTTCTGTCAAAGGCTGGACACACAGTCACACGTCTCGTGTTGTGGATCTGGAGGTGAACGCCAGCCTCACTGCCCACGGTTGTCCTGTGAGAGAACCAACCACAAGTCTTAGCAGGCTCCTGATAGCACTGAAGGAGAGCAGCCTCATTTTCTGTTTGCTGGAACTGAACAAGCAGCTCTTGGGAAGATCACAAACCAAGAATCAGCAGGCTTCCCACAGCCTTCTGCTAAAGACAGTTTTCTCCACCCTGCGGCTGGCAAGTCCCTAACCACGATAGGGAACTACCAACCTTGCGACAACCTGTAAACTTTTTCTTTAAACCCATCATTCAGCCCCCAGACTCCCCTCCCCTAACTGTTCTTAAAAGTAGCCTGCTAAGTGCTCTCGGAGTCACCATTTTGTCACTTTGTCAGATGCCTGGACCCCTGCAGGATGCTGGATCAAACACCCTTGCTGATTGCATATTTGTCTGGTGGTCTTTCATGGAATTTCTCCTGAACCTTAACATCCTGCAATGCTAGCATCCTCTTCCCATACTTGGCTGCATAGTCTGGGCACAAACACAGGAACTGTAGAAATCACCTGAAGAGGTCCCGGGATTTCCGTCGCGCAGACTTCTGGGAAATGCAGTCCATGCCACTGTGACGTCACAGCGATCCGTCCAGGCAGTTGCGATCTGGCTTTGGGTCTCCACTAGTGCTTCTTCCCCAAAGTTGGGCTCGAGTCCTGCCCTGCTGTATCTCTGACTTGGAGGTTGGTCCAGGGTGCAGCGCAGCCTGAGGCTCTGTGCGGGGTGCGGTCTGTCTTGGAGGGGGCGGACCTGGGCTGGGTGCGAGGGCGGAGAAACTGCCTTGGAGGTGCTGTGCTGAACTGACTGGGAGGTTGCAGGTCAGGGCTGGGAGAGGGCGATGGACTGTGCCCTGAGAGATGGTTTCCTTAGGACGGGCAGCCCGAGTCCGCCTTGGGCTTCTGGAACAGGAGAGCTGCCGGGGAGCGCGGAGTAGATGATAGCGCAAGGTCCAGGACTGCAAGCTAACGATGGTCAGCTGAGGTGACCAGGACTGCAAGCTAACGATGGTCAGCTGACTACCTGCTCCTGAGGTGGAGCTGGGAGCTCCCTGAGCAGCTTTGGTGGGGAAGCAGCTTCATGAGCTGAGCCCTTCTCACATGGATGCTGTCAGATTCTCAGTGTCTTAGAGCAAACGGGGTGTCTGACCCCTCCTGTACTCTAGCCTGCCTGGTGTAAGGGTCTTGAGTCTTGATTGTGTTCCTTTTCTCTGCCAGTATAAGAATTAAGAGAGGAAAATTCTGAGGCACAGCAAAGGTCTCAGGTGGGAAATTCTGGAAGACAGCAGGCAGCTGCTTTAGAAAAGTTTTGACTAGGGGTGAGACAGCACATGCAGCCCACACACAGAGGGATCCTCAGCAGGGAGAAGGGACTGGAGATGCTGACTCCAGGCCTCACCTTGAGGGCTGGATTATCTTAAATCTTTGAGAGGTCCTTCATTCCTAATGTAGGGTGGACTAACTGTCATAAAGACAGGATGTCTGCTTGGCCCACAATGGTTGTGTCAACATCTCTTGATCTGTCCTTGAGTTGGTGAGGTAGTCCAGAAGTGTGGTCCCTAGGAACAGGCGAAAATCTCTTATGGCCTTGTTTTATGGTGCCAGGCTTTTGTGTCAGGTCAGCAGGGTGTGGAGAACTCACAGACCTGTGTGTGTTTCCCTGATTTAAAGTAAACAGACCTGTGACAGAAAAGAAACTCCAGTCCACTCTATTGCACATCCCTGTCACCTCTGCATTTGTGAGGGGGAGGCAGGACCCTCTGGCCCTCCCTTGCTTCATAGCAAATTCAAGTCCTAGGCTACCCGAGTCTGTGTCAGGAACATACTTCATGGATGTGGTATTTTCTGTTGTTCATCCCTTGTTTGTTACAGTGAGCACCGTGACAGAGCCATGCAATCAGCACTTTGGTGACTTACGAACTAGGTGTGCTTAACTTCTGACACATTTCACATGCAATTCAAACCTTGTCCCTTACGTGTTTACTGAAGACTTTAAATCTTTATGATTAGATACTTGTTTGCATTTACTTTGTGAGGAAGAATCCTCTTTGCCATGTTTGAATATTCCTCCCTATATGCAGCAAATGTTCATTCTTTTTTGATGGAATCTGTTAGTTACTGCCGTGACCTGATACGGCTGTCTTCCGGTTTTCCTGATTTCTCCCACTTTGATCCTTCATATCTAATCTGAGACTCCATTATTTCTTTGTTTCCATTCTGCAGTTCTTGACTGATTTTTGTTTGTTTGTTTGTTTTGTATTTGTATTTTCCCCCCTGCGGCTACAGCTGGGATGCTTCCCCCATCCTTACAGCAGAGGTTCCACTGTGAGCAGATGCTTCTCACAGTTAGCCAGGACAAAACCACTCCCTCCACCTCCTTCACAGGGGGCACTGCCCTATCCAACCAGTAAAGCAAACTGCTGGTGTTGGGTTCCTGTTCTTCCACAGGTGCAATAGTCCAGTGCCCCTTGTTGAGCAGTCCTGTCTCTTTCCTCCCCCGCTTCTGTCACTGTATTCTAATGTCAGTTGACAGGAGGAGTTGCATGTGTTTACAACTCATGCGTGAACCTTGCTGTGTTAAACATGTCATCTCTGGAAAGCTCTGGAAGGGAGGTGAGCAGGGTGAGGACATTCAGATCCTGCTGGTCGATCTATATGATTATGTCAGAGGCCATGGAGAGGCATTTCAAAAATGTGAACAGGGGTCAAACACATGCCAGGAATAAACCTGGGCAGCACAGATTTTCGTTACATTGTCAAATCTGGTTATAAAAGTGTCTGCCACTGTGTCCTCCATAGTCATTATCAAATGCAGTGTCATATTTAGAGTTGAAATGAGTTGCATGGCCAACTCTTTCAAATCTGCATTCCATTGTTCTCTTCTTTGCAGGATGCATATGAAATTAAGTCAGATTTTTTTTTTTTTGGTTTTTCGAGACAGGGTTTCTCTGTGGCTTTGGAGGCTGTCCTGGAACTCCCTTGGTAGTCCAGGCTGGTCTCGAACTTACAGAGATTCGCCTGCCTCTGCCTCCCGAGTGCTGGGATTAAAGGCGTGCGCCACCAACGCCCGGCTTAAGTCAGATTTATGAGAGTGCATGTCCCAAATCTTCATTTGATGCACTCCACTTACTGTTGCTTTATGAAGACTCAGAAACAATATATGGTCTATTAAACTCCCCAAGCACATCTAGACATGTAGTGAACAGAGTTAAAGCATGTGATATTGGTTTTGTTGCATATATATAATTCATGTTTCCAAAGCAGATAAAATACTGTCTCCCATATTTTTTCATGTTTTATCTACTTTCTGTGTCATGCAATTGCAAAACTTGGTGACTTGAAGCAAAAAAATTAGCGATTGTTTCATGCCACTATTCTGTGAATAAAGCCCTGGGACAAAGGTCTACAAGTCGCTGCTTCATGATGCCTGCCATTCATATTCTAAGCACTATGTTACGTAAGAGGTAGATTGTCTATTTTGAATGGAGAGTCACTACTGTTCAGATCCTGACCAGGAATTTCATATCATTTTGACTTCCCACTAATGTCCTGCTGGTCTTCAGTTTTTTTCTGATTCTTATAGCATCTACTCTGTCCATTCTGCTGTTATAGGCTTCCCTGTACAGCCAGCCTCCATTCAAGTGGAGTACTATATCCACCTCCCAATTATAGTAAGAATGTGCAGCAATTTTTAATGAATGGCAGTGTGTCCACCCCCCTCCTCGGGATAGACATTATTTGCATTTTGTCTTCATAGGAAGTTTATTTTGCCAGTTTCAAATTCCCCTGAAATATTTGCCATTTATAAATAGTATTGGGGAAATTCTCTCCGAAATGATTCCCTGTCTACAGGTGTACTGCCCTCCACCCAGTGTCCCATAGGAGATTGGCCTCAGGGCAGCAGAGACTTCCCCATGGTGACTGATGGTATGCTGTGCTGGGCAGTATGGGGAGTGATCCTTACAGTTAATTCTGCTTTGGGGACCTGCTCAAGTTCTCTCGGTGTTTAATGTTTCTGTCTTCATCTTCTCTGGGCTCTTGCCCTTCTCGGTGCTGGTAATTTTCCCTCTTCTTGGTGACCGCTAGTTCTACAGTCTCACCTTTTCTAATGTTGAGATCCTTTAGTACAGGTCCTCATATGTTGGTGATCCCCAACCATGAAATTCTTTTCCTTGCTACTTCATAAAAGTACTTTTAAGGTTATGTTGTAATGTAAATGCTTTTGGAGATGAAGGTTTTCCCAAGGGGTTGTGACCCACATGTTGAGAAGCACAGCCCTGGTTAAAAAAGAGTGGAATCTGTTTTTCTCACTTCTAAATGTGGTAACTTTCTATACTAGCTACAAAGAACTTTTCAAAACAGTCCAGTTTCTCTTCCCTTGGGAAATTTCTGGGTGTTCTCTTCACCAAAGTGCTTCATTCTGCCTGTTTCTTGAAGATCTGCTGGCCTCCTCATTGCTGCTCAATTCTGTCCTTTATTTAAAGACATTTTTCTGTGGAGCCTTTATGGAGGATATATTCCAGTTGTCCCCAAAGTCTTGTGATAAGTTGCCTCCTTCCAATGGTGAAAACACCCTGCCCTTCAGACACAAGACTCATTGGAGTTTGATCTGACCTGATTGTCTCCTGGCTAAGGGTGAGTTTGCTTCATGCTGGAAGGTGCTTTGCAAGCTCTAAGAGAGAAACAATAAATAGTCCTGTTTAGCGGTATACCCGTGAACCACGCAATGACCATTATGGTATGATGCCTCTAAAATTGCCACACTGCCTCTCATATCTTCACCTTAGCAGCAGCTGTCTAATGGAACTTAGAGGGGACAGGAGGACATACATAATGCTAGCTAACACATAGACAGGAAGTGAAATGGCTGGGTGGAGACAGGAAGTGAGATAGCTGGGTAGAGAAAATATAGGTGAAAGGAAACAGGAACTCGATATCTTTTCAGCTGGGAAATTAGCATGGTAAGGTTTGCTCCTTCATCTCTCTGATGTTTCAGCTTTTACCCATATATCTGACTCTGGACGTTTATTATTAAGACCAATTAGAATTTGGGTTACAACATAGAATTGCCTGCCCGGGGGGGGGGGCACCTCCTGTAATAGGCTGTGCTATCTCATATCAATCACTCATTAAGAAAATGCCCCCTAGGCTTAGCTACAGGACAGTATTAGGTAAACATTTTCTCAGTTATGTTTCTCTCTTCTCAAATTGAACCTAGCTAGTTTCAAGTTGACAGGAAACTATCCAGCCCGATGCTCTTGGTATTTATATTATTTATGGCTTAAATTAAAGTGTGTTATGCTCCACTGATCTTTATTTCAGGAAATGCTGTCCTTCTGGGATGTGGCCATTGAGTTCTCTCCAGAAGAGAGGGAATACCTGGAGCCTGCTCAGTGGAATCTGTACAGGGATGTAATGTTGGAGAATTACAGCCACCTTGATTTCCTGGGTGAGGATCACGTCCACTGTGAATTCTTATTTCACCACCAACACATACCTTCCTCACTTTGTATGGTGTCTCATTGGACCACATTAACAGTGAGTTTCATATCCTTCGTTTTTCCTGAAAAATGAGGGAGTTTCCTGTATTAAACATCCTTCATGGATGGAGAGATAGCTCAGTTGTTAAGAGCACTGACTGCTCATATGGCAGCTCACAACTGTCTGTAATTCCAAGATCTGATACCCTCATGTTGTATGATGTTTTGATTGTGTTCTGACAAATAAAGCTTGCTTGAATTCAGAGGACAGAGTTAGCCACTAACTGACCATAGAGGTTTGGAGGACTGTAGAGAGCAGGGCAGGAAGTAGTAAGGGGGCGCTGAGACAGAATCTCAGTCCGTTTGGACATTGGCATGGAAAAGGTAGGAAATACCTGGTGGCTGCTCCCCTGCTTCTGTCTTTCAGGTTCTTACCCCAATATCTGACTCCTGATTTTTTATTGATAAAGTTTAATTAGATTAACGCTTCATCCTCACACAGACATACATGCAGGCAAAACACTTATGTGTATGTTTCCCAATTCAGTCTCCCCTATCCCTTTAAATGAAACACAGAATCTGGATGCTGTATTGTAGTGATCCTGTAGGGAACATTTATGGAAATGGCTGTCTGGAGTCATTTGTTACATCATCTCTTTTCATATAAGCCATGCACAGGAAGGGACATGTCAATTCCCAGTAGAAGAACACTCAAACAATCCTGCTGCATTTTTCTACAAACAGGTCTTGCTGTCCCTAAGCCACACCTGGTAACATTTCTGGAACAAAGACAAGAGATTTCAGATGTGAAGAGACAAACAGCAGCCACCATGCACCCAGGTGGGTAGGAATGAGGGGGTCAAGGTCAGAGTTGAGGTTCAAATATCCAACAGAAAGGCAGGCTTTTCCATGTGCCTAGAAACACGATGCTATGGGAATCATTCTTTGTTGTCGAAGCACAGCTCTCAGACATTTATGATCGTTTAAGTCTCTGAAGCTTTCACAGAGGCTCAACAGTTTCAGTTCTGTAGATTAGAAATATTTGGGAGTGGGGAACAGTGGAGATTCACAGTGTTAGCATATTGTAGAAAAGGTTGGGCCCTTAGGTACACCAATTTAACAGAGGCTGTTTGGGTTTTTCAAAGCTTTTACCACCAGTTGGTTCAGAAGGGAGTGACCATTTGACCTAGGAAGAGGAGGACAGGATGATCTTCTAGGCCTTCCATTCTTGATTCAGGGATGTCCATCAAACGAGTTACAGATACAGTGATTATGTGCCCCTCGTTCATGGCAGTTAGTAGATTTAGGTCTTTCAGTATGGTAAGGATTTTGGGGGTTTTGTTTTTTTGTTTTGTTTTTTCAAGTTCATATATATTTGTCATATATTAGGTCTAATTGTTACTTGGATATATTACCACTCACAACTTTTTAAGCAAACTACAAAATTTTATATAAACCTGATGTTTCCAGATATGTCAAAGTTAGGAAAATGTCTTGTTTCAGATCCAGTCAGGGTTGCAACTGTGGCTAGCCCTATGGGAAGCATTATAACTAATACGACCGAAAGTACAATTGGAGGGAGAGATCTTGTGGTCCCTTCTTCTCAAGGTCTCCTGTTGATTTTCAGCCTTCCTTAGTGTAGATTTTCATTGGTTTCCAGGTTTGTAATGGGAGCAAGGCTGAGGAATATAAGCAGAGTTCTTCAATAGGGCCTGGATCAGCTCTGTCCCACCAGCCATTCCCAAATACCCACTCAGAGATTTAATATTAATTATAAATGCTTGACTGGTAGTTCAGGCATATTTCTAACAGCTTTTACATTTTAATTAATCTATATGTCTTACGTACGCCCTGCCACGTGGCAATATGTCATGTTTATCTCCTGCTCCTCCACGTCCTGGTGACTCTTCTGACTCTGCCCTCCTCATCCCAACATTTGCTCTGCCCCGAAAATCCCACTTCTCCAAGGACCAATGAGCTTTTTATTAACAATTAGAATAATACTTCTTCACAGTTTACAGAAGGATTAGTCCTCGGCATTTCCCCTTTCTGTCTAATTAATAAGGAAGGTTTTAACTTTCACATAGTAAAAGTGTATGTAACAAAAGCAGCTTCTCATTTCCTATGGAAATAAAAGCATAACCTCTCTCCCAAAGAAACATTTTTTTTACTTCTTTTTTGAAGTCAAGACATTTTAAAAATATATAGGTTGGTTTAATCCAGCAGTTTGCACAATCAAATGTGCCTTAGCAGCTGTGGTTCCTTAATTAGCAATCAGAAAGCCTGAAGATAACACAATAAGCTGCAGAACCCAGACACTGTGTATTTCCCATCTTTACATGGATTTTTTTCTTTTACATTATTGTACTCCCTTTTTCAGGACTTCTACTTGATTATTTTACAACATATGTATATTTTAATGACTATCTATACCCTTTCTGTTTTCTCTCCTAAGCCTTTGTACATTCTAAAAACACACTGTACCCATTTAGAGATTTTTTTTCCCAATCTGGATCTGTCTTTTTTGAGCTCCTGTAGCCTTTTCTGTCTGTGTGAGCAAAACCCCAAACCTGCCACCCAGTGTGCTTGTGGAGCTCAAGCTGGTGGCTCAGATCTGTGGGCCACTGCCAGGAGATGCATCTCTGTACTGCAGTCCATGTGAGAGACATGAGACCCGGAAGCCTCTTTTGGCTCTGTTTTTGTGTGTTTAGGACTTTTTTTTTAGATTCCTCAGGTCTAATTTGGATGTGGATGCACCAGCTTGGATCGACAATTGTAGGGGGAGTTTTCCTGTCTCAGCAGCTTCTCTAAAATAACCAAAGGGGAGACACTATTAATGATAAATGCTCAGCCAATACCTTAGGCTCATTTGTAGCTAGCTCTTACGTTTTAAATGGACTGGTATTTCTTATCTACCCCCCTGCCACATGGCAGTACCTTCTTTCAACTTGCCTAGCCATCTGCTAATCAACTTTTCATTAACAATGAGAGTAACACATCTTCTTATTGTAAAAAAAAAAAAGATGATTCACAGCAGAGGAGCTGGTCCCAGATGTCTCTGGAAGGTAACTCAAAATGGCTGGTCTGGGTTTATCTGTTAGTAAAATATCCTTACAACTTACTTAGATATTAAACTTTGAGTAACATGCCATTATGTCTATGTTCTATTTGGTTGTGCCCCTATTCTAGTAAAAGTATAGATCATTTCTACCTACAATATTTTATAAATTATGTTTAGTGCCTATAGGTTTTAAAATGCAGTCTTTAATTCATGCTTCAGTACATATGGGTAAATATTTCCTTTTAAAGAGATAAACATTGTAAGTATTAAGAATATTTCTGAGCATTTGTTCATATCTTAACTTTTGGTCAACAGGAACAACAACCAATGATTATAATGTTTACGACAAGGCCACTGATTGTAACTCACTAAGTATTCAAAAACAGAAATTTCATACAAGGAAGAAAACTTACAAGTGTGAAGAATGTGATAAGGCCCTTAGTTCTTATAGAACACTTTCTATACACCAGAGACTTCACACTGGAGAAAAACCCTACACATGTAAAGAATGTCATAAGGCCTTCAATACACGCTCATCACTTTTTATACACCAGAAAAATCATACTGCTGAAAAACCCTACAAGTGTGAAGAATGTGGCAAATCATTTTACTATCCTTCAATGCTGAGGCAACATCAAAGAACTCATTCTGGAGAGAAACCCTGCAAGTGTGAAGAGTGTGGCCGGTGCTTTTCCTCGTTTTCATACCTTAGACAGCATGAAGCGATTCACACTGGAGAGGGACCATACAGGTGTGAGGACTGTCACAAAGCCTTTCATTTTTACTCATCCCTTAAGAGCCACAAGGCAGTGCATAGTGAAGAGAAACTCAACAAGCGTGAACTGACAGGCAGAGGACTTACTAAGCCTGCTCTCGTCAGTGGGAACAAGGCAGCTCATACCGCAGAGAAAGCCAACAAGTGTGAGGAGTGTGGCAAGTGTTTTGCATCGTCTGCATCCCTTAGGCAACATCAAACCATCCATTCTGAAGACAATCCCTACAAGTGTGCAGAGTGTGGTAAGAGGTTTTCCTCCTTTGCACACCAACAACAACATCAGACAGTCCATACGGGAGAGAAACCATACAAGTGTGAGGAGTGTGGCAAATGTTTTGGCTCAGCCTCATCCCTTAAACGACATCAACCAATCCATTCTGAAGACAGTCCCTACAAGTGTGCAGAGTGTGGCAAAAATCTTTCCTGTTTTGCAAACCTTCAGGAACATCAGATAGTCCATACTGGAGTGAAATCATACAAGTGTGAGGAGTGTGGCAAATGTTTTTACTTATCATCATCCCTTCAGCGACATCAAAAAATTCACTGTGAAGACAATCCCTACAAGTGTCAAGAGTGTGGCAGGTGTTTTTACTCATCTGTGCCCCTTAGAAGACATCAAACCATCCATTCTGAAGACAATCCTTATACTTGTGATGACTGTGGCAAACGGTTTTGCTATTCTAGGGATCTTCAGGAACATCGGACAATTCACACTGGAGAGAAACCATACAAGTGTGACGAGTGTCACAAAGCCTTTCATTATCACTCATCCCTTAGGAAACACAAGAAAGTTCATACTGGAGAGAGACCCTAGCAGTATGAAGAGTGTGACAGATGTTTTTCCTCATCTTCTTCCCTTAGACAACATTAAACAAAAGAAAATTTATTCTAAAGACAATCCCTAAAAGTGTGGGGAATGTGGCAAAACTTTATTAATCTTTATGTCCTTATTCAACATGTGATATAGTTTCTACAGGAGGGAAATCCTACAAATGTCCTAAAATGTTTACTTCTTCAACCCTTAAAATACACCAAATGATTCATTCTGACTACAAACTTATGAGTGTGTAAATTGTGGTAAAAATCTTTGCCAACTATTTAGATCTTATCCAACTCAAATGAATCCATAGTGGAGAATATTAAGTTCATTATTTTGCAATGTCAACACAAACATCTCACCTACAACAGCACAAATGCTAAGAATGTCATCAGAGAACAGTAGAAACTTCTCTTTGCTATAACCCCCAACAGTTTGTTCAAGCACTGTGTTTGAAACTTGCCATGATTAATGAGTTTTTTTCTTCTGTAACTATAAATGTTCCATGAAACATTTACAATGTCATAACTTTTTCCATGGTTGTCCAAATTCTGATATCTGGGCTGTGGCATAGTTATTGTTTTTTTCCCAGTAGAGTCATTTAAGCTCCTATAATATCTCCCCTGGTGTGTAAAAAGATCTGTTTCTCTGAGGTGGCAGGTTTTCATCCGGTATCTGGTTTCTGAATCCTTACTGGTTATGAATAGGTAGGTAGGTAGATAGACAGACAGACAGACAGACAGACAGACAGACAGACAGATAGACAGATAGATAGACGGATAGATGGATAGATGGATAGATGGATAGATAAAGAGATTAGTTAAAACAATGTGTAGGCTCCTTGGGTCTAAGGCCTCAGGAGCAAGGTGGCAGCGGCAGCAGCTGCAGAGGCCCAGTCATCAGGTGACTTAGCAAGAGTATCAGGTACGGCTGCTGTGCCTCAGAAAAACAACAGTGTCCATAGAGCAATAATGGCAGGAGAGTTCTGAGAGTAAACAAGTATTTCCTTATTGAACTTGAAGCAAATTACACAAACGGTAACTGAAGTGATGTTAATTTGGTGAGATACTTGTGCCTGGGTAGATGATAAGCCCTAGGGTGAATTTAATGCAGTTATTCTAATCAGTGGATACTACCTAAATAAATCCAAGTCTCATCTTTATATCCACAGTCAGGCATCCCTCTACATACACCAGAATATAGCAGTTGTGTGGTACATGGAGACCAACACATAGACTCACAATTGGTTGAAGTGTAGAGAATAATAGTCTGTGGAGGGACCTAATCTAAAAGTGACACCTGTATCAGACATTGGAAGGGACGTCCTTATCACACATCTAAAGCCAAAAAAGTCAGGGAGAAGAGGTAAAAAGAGTGTCAGAGCCAGATATGAGACATTTCTAGAACAGTGAAACATTGCTAGAAATATCAGTACCATTTCATGCATGAACATACTGTAGCTATTACCTCACTGACAAAACTTACACAAGTTAAACACCTCCATACAGTAAGCACGGCTGCATGAGGGCCTCACCATGTCTCACCTTAGTGGAGGAGCTGTGGACAATTGATGACTCCTGAGGGAGAGAGTGCTCTGGGAGGCTTCCAGGGTCCAGCCAGACAACTGTCCTCCACCCCTACACATGGAGGGAGCTCTAAGTGGAATGAAGAAATAACAAAGAAAAAGCCTACCAAATTGGGAGAGTAAAGTGATTTTAAGGGTAAAAAGTAATTGGTGAAGGAATGTTGGGATTTGAAGAAAACATGTAATATGCTTGTATTAAATTCTCCCAAAGTAAATATCATTTTAAACATTGATGCTTTTGGACATCCAAACTTGACCTGTTTGGGCAGTGATTACAGGACATGACTGTGGCTGTCTTAAAGTTTACAGAGGGACAGCATCCTACTGGAAAGGCATCTTGAGGGATCAAGTATTGAGGACTCTTGAGAGGGCTCAGATGCTGAGGACTAAGGGGCCCTGCAGCAGGGTAACCTCAGGGAAGAGACAGGGATGGCTTTGCAGAAAAGAGATGTGACCAGACTCACCTCATATTCCAGGCGGCTTTGCCATGAGTACAACAGAGGAATGATGAGCAGTGTCCTCCCCTCCCTCCCTTCCCTCACTCCTACATCCATGGTGATCACAGCTGCTTTGGTTCCTGGTTATCCATCATTGCTTAAGTTAGGAAAGAGGTGTAGCAGTCAACTGAACTTGGTGGGTAGGAAGTTATGAGACAACACATCACATGCCTTCTATCACCGAGTTTTGTTAAAAAACAGTTTACTAACATGTGAATGTCATGTGCACATTAGAGAAAACAGACTTAAATGCCGTCCTAGTTAATAACAAAGGTTGCTGTGTGGGAAGGTTCTGTTTTTTTGTTTTGTTTTAATGTCTAAGATGTGGTGAGCAAAACACCTTGAACAAAGATGCAGTTTGCTGTGTGTATGGGAGTCAATGTTTTCTCCCTGGTAGGAGTCTCTGCAGACCTAGTTCCTCAGAATACAGAGGGAGATTTGCTTATGAATGGAAATGACCCTAATGAATATGCACATGTTCTATAAGAGAATGGTTTTTTATAGCTTGTCTGTGCAGGAAGCCTCTAAAGGGACCAGCTCAAGTAAGAAGTTAGCAGAGACTCACAAGCTTAGGAGTAAATAGTACAGCAAATGCTCACACTGTCCGGAGCAGATAGTACAGCAGAGACAGACACACTCAGGAGTTAATAGTGTAGCAGAGGCCCACAAGCTCAGGAGTAGATAGTATAGCAGACACATATTCTTAGGAGTTAATAGTATAGCAGAGATTTATAATTTCAGGTGGCATTTCTAATCCCCCCCTTCAATTTTAAACTCCGTTATGTTGAAAGTAAAAAAAAAAATTGCATGTGAAAACTACAGTGTTGTGGAATATTTTAGATAGCCAAAGGTGTGTTACATTTGTTTAGGCTGTGAAACATAACTGTGTAAAGGTGTGCTACACTTGTTTCCGCTGCCTTCGTTAACGATGTAATAAGGTGTTATATTTGTTTCATCTTGCCTGCTTAAGGCACCTGTTTGGTCTAATTAAAGCTGAACAGCCAATAGCTAGGCAATAGAGGGATAAGTGGGGCCCCCAGTCAGAATAAAAGAAGGAGAAATCTAGCATGGAGGAAAAGAGGACAAGGGAGAGAGGGACGAGCTGTGGTCGGAAGCCAGGCGGCCTCGAGACATTCTTGGAGACAGCAGCAAAGCAAGTCACACAGAAAAAAGAAGGGTACAGAGCCCTGAGGCAAAATGTAGATGAGGAGAAACAGGTGACTTTATAAGAGCTAGCAAGAAACGAGCTGAGCGAAGGCCAAGCATTCATAACTAATAAGTCTCCTTGTTACGATGTGGGAGCTGGTTAGTGGTCCAAGACAAAGCCTGTGACACTACAGAGGTCATGCACTTCTGTACAGTTAGAACGGACATTCAGAATAGAATCTGAGGCTTTCACATTGGATTTGACACAGTCTGCACTGCATATATATTGCACGTCTTACATGAAAACTAAAATCCATGACGGTGTTGGAACCTGAAAATCAGTTTTCTTATGTCCTCTTTCACAACCCATGTTCATCACCTGCTTTAAATCCTTCCTCAACCCTAATATTCAAACTTCATTCTCATTTCCACTTTACATGCTGTACCCACATACACATGTCTTCACATATGTACATGTATTAGTGTCTAGATAACACATGAGGGAGAACATGCAGCATTTTCTTTGTATGACTGGGTGACCTCAACTAATAGACATTTGATGTCCATCCATTTTTCTGTTAATTTTTTATTATACTTTTTTAAGAGCTAAATAGCATCCCCTCTGTGTGTCTGAAATAAACATACATTTATATTTATCATCCTATTTTCCATTAATATATTCATGAACATCTATGTTCATTCAGATTCTTTACTATTTTGAGTAAAGAAACAATGATCAGGGGCACAAGTATCACTCTAATGAGGTATGAGTTTCCCATATAAAGGCAGGATTCAAATAGTGGAGACAGTATAGAGACTAGAGTCCTGGTTCCAGCTATGACACCATTATGGGTGTGAGGTGCTGGTTTGGGAGGTTCCAGTGGTCACTACAGCACCCATACTCTATGCTGTTGTGATCTCGAGGCTTCTTTGGGTCCGTGGCTCTAACCGCAACCTGTAGACAGTAGGCTGCATTTCATCAGAAGTTCAGTATCTGCCACCAGCAGGCTTATAGGATCCAAAGGGTGACCAAGGATTTGATTACATGTGGTCACCTGGCTGCCTAGTGAGCAGCTAACCCAGCTTGCACCCACTTCTGAGGTCACTGAAAGGGAACGCTGGTTGCAGGCTGCTATGACTGAGGGTGGGCACATGATTAAGTATTTCTACTCTGTACAACCTTGCTTCCTCTAAACCTGAACCTCATGCATTTATGGCCGAACTACAACTCCAACCTGGGAAAAATGACTGGATACTTTAACTGCATTTATATAGACACCTTTAGATCAGGAGATAAACAATGTTAGCTGTTGGCTATTAGTTGATCTTCTTTTCACTGCCTTAGAATCAGGGGCACTGATTTAGGACAGGAGATTTAAAGGCCCCTTCGAGATGCACATGCATGTGGCTAATGTAGGGACACCAAACCCCAGCTTCAACAGGATATGTTCATGTATGTGTAATAATAGCAATATTCTAAAGGTGATTATTTCTATATATTTGAAAAGGAGAAACATAAAAACAGAAGCCAGGCTTGTTGGGGCAGAAACCAAGGCAGACCATAGACACAGGGCAAAGGCGTATCAAGGACAGAAGGAATATCCTATCACAGAGGAAGCAGACTTGAAGATATCTTAGAAAGAGCTGCCATCAGGACCCACTATCACTTCTCTAAGAGGAGAATCACACAGCTAAGAGGTCCTCCAGGAGAGAAAAAGTGGTCCCACATCCCACAGCCGGTGGGAGTCGGGGCCTGGACTCCCTGACAGGTTAAGCCACCGGATGCCTGGGTTTTAGAAGGCTAAAGAAGTGTAGGGTGAATACACTGCTCTGCCAACATAGCAGCTCCAGCTCATGAGCCTCCTGAAGTCACCACAGGTGGTCTTTTCTGGCCTCCCTCACCTCAGCATGTGAGCACAACAAAGCAGCCCAGTTCCCAGTCTGTGCAGCTTGCACTGGGTTCCTTTAAAATGACTGGAGATTTAGTAAAGATTCATCAAGGTCTTGTAGCCTCATGAGTATCTGACATAACTAATTGCATGTTGGGAATTGCTCAGAAATAGCTCTTGTCAGGATAACGTGATGAATAGTGAGTTTCAAGAGAGTGTCAAATGCCTCCAAACAGAAAGGTCACTAGTATTGGGCTGTACAAATATTTTAAAGTTGACCAGATTGGGGCATTTCAGGTTGAGAGATTACTGGAAGAGAGGTATTGTAGGATAATCTTTATGTATACTGTGTAGATGTGTCTTTGCCAAGGCATCTTCTAATTGGTTTGATAAAAAGCTAAATGGCCAATACCACGGACTTCTGGACAGAGACAGCTCTGAGAGGATTTCCACAATAAATGACTGATACTGCAGAAAGTGGGAAACAATGTATTTTTAAGTAAAAGGCTAACAATGTATATAAGGCATAAAGGAATTAAGACTGCAAACAATATGTCAAGGGACAGGCACAGGCTGATAGAAGTGCTTGTCCCACAAAGTTAATATATGGCTTATGAACACCAGAATCCTTGTAAGTGAAAGAAGGGTGGAGGACTGAGAGGTGGTTAAACAAACACAAAGGGAATTGGGACAAGACAGACATTAATCATTTCAGTATCACCTCATATCCAGATTGAACTTTGGAGACTCTAAGATTCCTACCCATCATGTTCATAAAGGTCCATGTTCCAAGGTAAGGTGTGGTAAGAACAATAAGTACATCTCTAACTCACTCCCAGGACACCTATATGTGATGACATCACATATTCTGTACCTGAGTTCAAACTGAGTCATCCAGGGTGCACAACAGTTCACTTGAGATCTCAAATGACTTAGGACACAAACTTCTGCTAATGTCTGTTAGGGAGATTTAGTAGTGGATTACTGAGGAAATCAGATCCTCTCTAAATGTGAGTAGCTCTGAACTTTGGAGGATTGCCCTTGACAGTATCAACAGTGCTGAACAGAAGCATTCATTGTTCTCTTCATTGTGACTGTGTATGAAATGTGACCAGTAGCAATAACCTCTGAAGGAATCATTGTATCCTGCAGGGGGGAGGGCTCATCAACTCTTGGGAAGGATGCATGTGATAGGCCTTGGAAATTCCCCCACAACTACAAGTTTCACTGGAAACTCCCTGCTGAAGGCATTATAAACAGGAAGGATTGTAAGTGAGGAGACCCTCATCAGTAGAGCTGCCTGCAAGTCATACACTGAGCTGTAAGCATGCAGCTAACCTGAGTGCTTACCTAAGGTCCAGTCAGATTTTCAGTATTGCCGATGTTGCTACGTGTAAGGTAGCCAAACAAACAAACAAAACCAGGGGAACATGGTTAAAATTCTAGTAGAGTCCTCCAAAAATGGAAATATTTACACAGATTAACAGTTGAGAGTTTCATGGGAGTTAGGGACAGGTGACCAATACTGAGTTGGATTATGGAGTTCTTTGTGAATGTCAGAGAGTTAAACTTTAACCTTCTTCAGTGACTATAACTTCTGTGTCCCTGAAGAACCTCCTACCCTGTAGGGATTCCCGTGTTCACAGGAAAACTGTTGTACACACTGTGGAGTTGTATCCATGTGTGGAACATGCAGAGTGTCACCACAGATGAGCATGGATTATTTATATGTAGCACTGAATATTGAAACAAAGCCCAACTTCTACTCAAACTGCTTCACCATGTATGTTTTATTCATTCATATTGCTTTTTTAAAGTTAGTTGTCCTGTTTTTTCTTTTCTTTTTTCTTTTTTGTTTACAGAGGTTTTTAAATTTTCCAGTCCAGGTTTGGATCAGATTCACTTCTCAGAAGCCTCTGATTACTTACAAGTACATTTAGGCACACCAAAGCTGATTTCAAAATCATCTTTAAAAGAGACTTTTCTCTCCCAGATAGCGTAGTGTACAAATTTTACTTGCTTGTCTGGACCCCTCAGCTAAAAATAACAACAGGGAGACTTTTTTATTAAATGTTATTTCATTTAGTTAACATTTTTCATGTATTTTACATGACAACCCCATTTACCCGTCCCTTTTCCCCTCCTGAAGTCCCCCTTCCCAGGCTGCCATCTATCCTCCTCCCATCCACCATCTTCAGTCTCCATGGGCTTGAACAAAGCATGACACTCCAAGTATAGGTAGGTGGTACCTAGCTCATCTCCCCCCCCCCAAAGGTGGAGGATGTAACCCATCATGGGAAACATGCTTAGAAAGTCTTCTATTTATGAACTCTTGGCCTTAGCTTAGGCTTTCCTCCACTTAGCTCTTATAACTTAATTTAACCTTCCATTTTTAATCTACTATCTTGCACATGGCATTTTTTCCCTCTTCTCCACTCTGTCAGCCCAACATAGTCCCAGTGTAGCTGGTGTCTCTAGGCAGCGAGATTCAATCTCTTCTGCTGTCTCGCCGGAAATCCCACCTGTCTTCTCCTGCCTAGCTATTGGCCACTCAGCTGTATTAAACCAATCAGAGGGTGCCTTGGCAAAGACAGATCTTCACAGTGTACTAAAAGAGTTACTCCACACAGTATTGCTTCATCCTTTTAAAGTGATTTAATGTGATTATTAATGCTGTAGGTAGATTAAATCAGAATGTATGGATCAGAAATGGCATCTGAGCCTAATGTTTATGTAAAAGTCTTGACTGGAATTTAAACATCTCCTGTTGTGGATCTGGAGATGAACACCAGAGTGAGTGTTCATAGCTGTTTGAAACCAAAACAGTAGCCTCATTGTTGTTAAAAAAAAAAAAACCAGTTTTATACATTGTTTTTAAGTTTCCATAGCTTAAAAGGATGTTTCTTTTTCCTAAGCCTAATGCACCCTGCAAACCATGTTCCAATCAATGCTGAAGTTGTGACCCCATGATGAACGGTCACCATGTGCCTTGTAAAAATAACGTATGGTGATTGTGCTTTTGTCTTAAGAAAATGTTTTTTCAGATAGCTTTATGATTCCCCTCCCAAATGATGGATTATCTAACTTGAGCTTTTAAAAATTTCATCCTATGAAATGGCCAGTGATTTAGATAGCTGTTTTCTATGACACATTTTCTGTTTTTATTTCATCATCTCTAACTGCCAATTGCTCGACAGCTTTTTCTATGAACCCAAACACTTCCTCAAAGGGAGACCTCAAAAGTCAATGAGGAGCGCTCTCTGAAAGACCGACTTTGGAAGAGAAAGCCAATGGCCACTTCCTGGTGCTCCTGTAATATAGAGCTTGCTTTTGAAGGGACCGGACCCTCACCCAGCCCCCTGCTTTAGTGGCCATGACAGGATACAGACGAAAAGACATGTAGGCCTCTGACTCAGCACAAGACACAAAGGAACTACCAACAACGCCCCCCCCCCTTAGCCTCTAGGAGGCTTAGTTCCTGGAGACTGGATTGTATGCAACAAGCTTAGGGCCAAAAGTGAACACAAAGAAACTCCAGGCACTCCCCCCACACCCCCAGCCTCCTGGAACCTAGGGCCAAAACTGAACACAAAAGAACTCCACTCTCCGCCTAGCCTCCTGGATACTTAGTTCCTGGAAACTGTGTTTGGCCACAATATAAAAAAGAAAAAAGAAAGAAAAAGAAAGAAGAGAGAGAGAGAGAGAGAGAGAGAGAGAGAGAGAGAGAGAGAGAGAGAGAGAGAGAGAGAGAGAGAGAGAGAGAGAGAGAGAGAGAGAGAGAGAGAGAGAGAGAGAGAGAGAGAGAGAGAGAGAGAGAGAGAGAGAGAGAGAGAGAGAGAGAGAGAGAGAGAGAGAGAGAGAGAGAGAGAGAGAGAGAGAGAGAGAGAGAGAGAGAGAGAGAGAGAGAGAGAGAGAGAGAGAGAGAGAGAGAGAGAGAGAGAGAGAGAGAGAGAGAGAGAGAGAGAGAGAGAGAGAGAGAGAGAGAGAGAGAGAGAGAGAGAGAGAGAGAGAGAGAGAGAGAGAGAGAGAGAGAGAGAGAGAGAGAGAGAGAGAGAGAGAGAGAGAGAGAGAGAGAGAGAGAGAGAGAGAGAGAGAGAGAGAGAGAGAGAGAGAGAGAGAGAGAGAGAGAGAGAGAGAGAGAGAGAGAGAGAGAGAGAGAGAGAGAGAGAGAGAGAGAGAGAGAGAGAGAGAGAGAGAGAGAGAGAGAGAGAGAGAGAGAGAGAGAGAGAGAGAGAGAGAGAGAGAGAGAGAGAGAGAGAGAGAGAGAGAGAGAGAGAGAGAGAGAGAGAGAGAGAGAGAGAGAGAGAGAGAGAGAGAGAGAGAGAGAGAGAGAGAGAGAGAGAGAGAGAGAGAGAGAGAGAGAGAGAGAGAGAGAGAGAGAGAGAGAGAGAGAGAGAGAGAGAGAGAGAGAGAGAGAGAGAGAGAGAGAGAGAGAGAGAGAGAGAGAGAGAGAGAGAGAGAGAGAGAGAGAGAGAGAGAGAGAGAGAGAGAGAGAGAGAGAGAGAGAGAGAGAGAGAGAGAGAGAGAGAGAGAGAGAGAGAGAGAGAGAGAGAGAGAGAGAGAGAGAGAGAGAGAGAGAGAGAGAGAGAGAGAGGGAAGGAAGGAAGGAAGGAAAGAAAGAAAGAAAGAAAGAAAGAAAACTCCCGGAGAAACCAAACCCTCCCCTTTAGTCTCCAGGATACTTAGTTCCCGAAAACTATTGGTGTCTATGTACAACAGGCCACCTGCAAATAACAAGACAAAGCCATAGAAACCACAGAATGTTCCCTTCTACAGGCAGCCAATGAGAATAGGTGATAAACAAGTATTTCATGCCAAGATGAAACTTTGAAAAATTCTCCTAAATGTCAACCAATCAGGAACCGACCCGTACCTTTCCCCTCCCGCTGATGTAACCCCGCAGTTTTTTTCCTTAAAACAAAACAAAACAAAACTAGCAGTAGACAAGGAACTCACTCCCTGCAGAGACTGCTGCATCAGTTTGCAGTCCCTAAGGCAGTGGGATAGAACTAAAAACCTTGTGCCTTTGCAGCGGTGAGTCTGTCTCCCTGGTGGCCTTTGGTAATCTTCTCTACTTGGGAACCACACTTTAATCAGACATTCCCGCAATTGGTTTTCCTCAGGACAACAGCTGCTCAGCAGCCTCTATTTCTTTCTCCCACTACTTTCTCTCTCTAACGCCGGCAACCAGACCCTACTCCAAGAAGAGTAAATATAACCACGCAGGCGTCCGGGAATTCCTTCGCTCAGACTTTTGGGAAATGTAGTCCATGCGACTGTGACGTCATAGAGAGCTATCCAGTACGTCGCAATCCGGTTGTTGGTCTCTAAGAGTGCATCTTACCCAAAGCTGGGCACCAGTCCTGCCCTGCTGTGTCTCCTGCTGCGTCTCTGACTTGGAGGTTGGTCCTGGGTGCAGCGCAGCCTGAGGCTCTGTGCGGGTTCCGTCTTGGAGGGAGCGGACCTGGGCTGGGTGGGAGGGCTGAGAAACTGCCTTGGAGGTGCTGTGCTGAACTGGCTGGGACGCGGGAGGTTGCAGGTCAGGGCTGGGAGAGGGCGATGGGATTGTGCCCTGAGAGATGGTTTCCTTAGGACGGGCAGCCCGAGTCCGCCTTGGGCGTCTGGAACAGGAGAGCTGCCGGGGAGCGCGGAGTAGATGATAGCGCAAGGTCCAGGACTGCAAGCTAACGATGGTCAGCTGAGGTGACCAGGACTGCAAGCTAACGATGGTCAGCTGACTACCTGCTCCTGAGGTGGAGCTGGGAGCTCCCTGAGCAGCTTTGGTGGGGAAGCAGCTTCACGAGCTGAGCCCTTCTCACATGGATGCTGTCAGATTCCTCAGTGTCTTAGAGCAAACGGGGTGTCTGACCCCTCCTGTACTCCAGCCTGCCTGGTGTAAGGGTCTTGAGTCTGGATTGTGTTCGTTTTCTCTGCCAGTTAAAGAATTAAGAGAGGAAATACCTGAGACCCAACGGTTCACTACTACGAAATTCTAAAGTGTATGCATCAGTGGTGTATGGGAGCACATAGCACTAAATGCATGTTCTGTGGATGGATTCATTTTACACTTCATCAGTATTAATTGGATCCTGTCCAAATGGGCTTATAGGATTTTTTTCTTTGTCTTTCATTGAACATGGGTACAGTTTGAAATCATGTAACCACTTCAGACATGTCTGAGGAATATTACTCAACTATGCAAAAAGCATTTCTATCTCTCTTTCATGATGGGCAAAATCTAGATTTATATCCACAGCCACACAATGACTGTGTTAGGGTTTCTATTGCTGTGATAAAGACCTTGAAGAAAGACAGCTTGGAGAAGAAAGGGTTTTTTATAGACTACAACTTCAGATAACTGTCCATCACCGAGGGAAGTCAAGGCTGTAACCTGAGGCAGGAGCTGGAGCAGAGGCCACAGAAGAACACTGCTAACTGACTTGCACAGCCTGCTTTCCTATGCCATATAGAATTGCCTTCCCAGGGTGGGTACCACCTTTAGTGAGCTATGCTCTCTCATACCAATCACTAATTAAAAAATACCCTCTAGGCTTGGAACAGGACAGTCTCAGGTAGACATTTCTCTATTATGTTTCTCTTTTCTCAAATGACCCTAGCTAATGTCAAGTTGACAGGAGAACTATTCAGGCCAATGCATCTTGGTATTTATATCATTACTGTTTTAATTAAATTAAAGTGTTATGGTAAATTGGTCATTGTTTCAGGAAATGCTGTCCTTCCGGGATGTGGCCATTGAGTTCTCTCTAGAAGAGAGGGAATACCTGGAGCCTGCTCAGTGGAATCTGTACAGGGAGGTGATGTTGGAGAATTACAGCCACCTTGATTTCCTGGGTGAGGATCTTATCCATAGAGAATTCTTATTTCACTATCAGCATGTATCTTATTTGCTTTTTACTGTATCTTATGGGAACGTTTCAACAGCGAGTTTCCTAATCTTCATTTTCAGAAAAATTGAGGCTATTTCTGTATTAGGATTCCTTTTGGTGCTGGAGAGATGGCTTAGTGAATAAGAGCACCGACTGTCCTTCTACAGGACAGGGGTTCAATTCCAGCAGTCACATGGCAGCTTGTAGCTGTCTGTAATTCCAAGATCTGACACCTTCACACAGACATATGTGCAGAAAAAACACCTATGCACATTAAAAAATAAAATTGAATTATTTAAAGAAAATAATTTCACTGTTTTTCTCTTTTCATGTTTAACCTTTGTATGTTGCATGTATATTTCCTTCACTCTAGGAGGACTGTTTGAAATTAAAAGGCATGAGACATGAAGGACAGTTGTTAATGAAACTGTTTCGCAATTCAGTTTTCATGTTTTTTCCCTTTGAGTAAAACAGAGAATCTGGATTTTGTAAATTCCTTTATGTATTGTAGTGATCCTGCTAGAAAACATTTACAGAAATGATTGTCTGGAGTCGTTTATTACATCATCTCTTTCCTTATGAGCCATGCAGTAAAATGACATGTCAATTCCTAGTAGAAGAACAACTAAACAATCCTGTTCCCTTTTCTACAAACAGGTCTTGCTGTCCCTAAGCCACACCTGGTGACATTTCTGGAGCAAAGACAAGAGCCTTCAGGATTGAAGACACAAGAAGCAGCCACCGTGTACCCAGGTGTGTAGGAATGAGGGGTCAGGGGTAGAGTTAGGTCCAAAATTCCACAAATTTCCTCTGTGTCTTGAAACATGATTCTATGAGAATCATTCTTTAGGTCTCTCTTCATGTCTGTGTTGTCAAAGCACATCTCTCAGATGTTTATGATGACTTAAGTCTCTTCAGCTTCTCATTTGTCAACAGCGAGCTGTGCTTCTATTAACAGTGACCTCAGAGGTTTCTCTTTGTTGAGTCTCCACTGTAGTATAAGACTCAGAGAAATGGAACTCAGTGCTGGTCAGACCAAGAGTCATTTCATCATTTCTTTGCAGAGGTTGACAGCAGACTCATGCCAGGAGGATCTCTATACCAAAGTGAGCATGGTTGGGTTTATAAAGCCAAACCCACAATTGCATCACACAGACCCAGGCTTCATAAAGGCTCAACAGTTTCTGATGGTCAGAACAATTTAGGGGTGGGGAGCAGTTGGATAAAACTCAGTCAAACTGGAGTCACTTTGGATAGTTCATTCCCCACTGATCTTAGGGAAGATTTCAAGCATTAACATATTGTAGAAGGGATTCTGTTGGAACATTGGGTACACTAATTTAATGGATACTGTTTCCTTTTTTCAACATTTTTACCACCAGTTGGCTCAGCAGGGCCCGTTACCTAGGAAGAGTAGGAGAGGATGACCAACAAGGTCCTCTGCTGTTGATTAAGGGATGCCCATCAAAGCAGTTTGGATACAGTGAATTGTGTGCCTCTCTTTCATGGCAGTTAGTAGAGTTACGTTTTTTAGTGAGTCGTAAGGTTCTGTCTACTATGATTGAAAGCTTTCTTGGGTATAGTAGTCTGTGTTGGCATCCTCCATCTTTTAGTGTTTGCAGAACATCTATCCAGGACCTTCTGTCGATATTTAGAAGGTGGCAAATGGGCAAAAACCACTTAAACCATTGGCCTTAGCCATCAGGAAAATGTAAATCAAAACAACTCTGAGAAAGCATCTTACACCTGTACTTAAGATCAAAAACACTGATGACAGCTTATGCTGGAGAGGATGTAGAGAAAGGGGAACATTCCTCAATTGTTGGTGGGTGTGCTAACTTGTACAACCTCTGTGAAAATCGATAGGGCCATTTTCCAGAAAATTGGGACTCAATATACCTCAAGACCCAGCAATACCGCTCTTGGGCATGTACCCAAAGGATACACTACACATTCATACTACAAGGATATTTGCACAACTGTGTTTATAGAAGCATTATTTCTAATAGCCACAACCTGGAAACAATGTAGTTGAAGAATGGTTAACGAAAATGTGTTACATTTACAATGGAGTACTGCTCAGTGGGAAAAAAACAGCAAAAAAAATTACCTCATCACAGTTATTTATCTTTGATGAAGATATCTTTAAAGTTTTTCTTTATCAGATACTCAGTAATGAGGATTTAAATGCATGGTGTGTGTGTGTGTGTGTGTGTGTGTGTGTGTGTGTGTCTTCAAATACTAAATTGTAACAATGAGTATGCAATTAATAGCTCACCAAGTTCTCAATATTACGGGTTCAAAATCTTTTTCTTTAGTTTGGAATTTGGTATTTTGGAGGAGTGTATAATCATTTGTTATACATTCCCTATATATTCTGGTGGGTGGGTAGAACACATTGATAAAGTACATGGGAACAAAAGATTAAAATTTCTATGAGATGTGCTCTGTTTTCAAGCCTTATTCATTGTCCCTCTACTTAGTGTTCAATAGCTATTTACTCCTAGAAATACATGATTTTATTTCCTGGTCATGGTGCATTACTTCATTGATTGCAGTACTTGGGAGGCAAAAGTAGGTGGACCTCTAAGTTTGAGGCCAACTCTGTTTAGATAGTGACTTCCAGGATAGCCAGGTCTACACAGAGAAACCTTGTCTTAAAAACACACTTATTCCTGTTAGTAAAATGCCCTAACAACCTACTTAGCTATTAAACTTCAAATAATATGTCATTGTGTGTATATTCTATAGCTGTGCCCTTATTCTAAGAGAAGTATATATCATTTCTACCTACAATATTTTATCAACTATGCTTAGTGCCTATAGTGTTTGAAATGTAGTTTCTCACTGATACTTCAATACGTATGAGTAAATTTTTCCTTTTTAAAACATTAAGTATGGAGAATATTTCCTAGAGTTTGTTCATGTCTCAACTTTTGCTCAACAGGAACAACATCCAATGATTATAATGTTTACAACAAGACCGTTGATTGTAACTTCTTAAGTATTCAGCACCAGAGAATTCATACAAGGGAGAAACCCTACAAGTGCAAAGAATGTGGTAAGGGCCTTAGTTCTTATCAAACACTCTCTATGCACAAGAGACTTCATAGAAGGAAGAAAACTTACAAATGTGAGGAGTGTGGTAAGGTCCTTAGATCTTCTAAAACACTTTCTATACACCAGAGACTTCACACTGGAGAAAAACCCTACACGTGTAAAGAATGTCATAAGGCTTTCAGTTCACGCTCATCACTTTTTATTCACCAGAAAAATCATACTGCTGAGAAACCCTACAAGTGTGAAGAATGTGGCAAGTCATTTTACTATCCTTCAATGCTGAAGCAACATCAAAGAATTCATTCTGGAGAGAAACCCTGCACGTGTGAAGAGTGTGGCAGGGGTTTTTATCATCCTTCATTCCTTGAGAAACATCAAAGAATTCATTGTGGAGAGAAACCATACAAGTGTGAAGAATGTCACAAAGCTTTTCGTTATCACTCGCGGCTTAAGAAGCACAAGGAAGTGCATAGTGGAGAGAAAGTCTACCAGTGCAAAGGATTTCCTAAGCCTGCTCTCCTCAGTGAGAACAAGGCACCTCATACCGCAGAGAAAGCCTACAAGTGTGAGGAGTGTGGCAAGTGTTTTGCATCGTCTGCATCCCTTACACGTCATCAAAGAATACACTCTGAAGACAAGTCGCTCAAGTGTTCAGAGTGTGGCAAAATGTTTTCCCTCATTTCAAACCTTCAAGAGCATCAGAGAGTCCATACAGGGGAGAAACCATACAAGTGTGAGGAGTGTGGCAAATGTTTTTTCTCATCTTCATCCCTTACACGACACCAAAGAATTCACAGTGAAGACAATCCTTACAAGTGTGAAGAGTGTGGCAGGCGTTTTCACTCATGGTCAGCCCTTAAAGGACATCGTATAGTTCATTCTGGAGAGAAACCCTACAAGTGTGAGGAGTGTCACAAAGCCTTTCGTTATCATGCAAGCTTTAAGGACCACAGGGCAACTCATACTAGAGAGAAACTCTACAAGTGTAAACTCAGTAGAAAAGGATTTACTAAGCCTGCTCTCCTCATTTGGAACAAGACAACTCATTCTGCAGAGAAAGCCTACGAGGATGAAGAGTGTGGCAAGTGTTTTTTCTCATCCTCATCCCTCAGAAAACATCAAAGGAATCACTGTGAGGACACTCCTTACAAGTGTGAAGAGTGTGGCAGGTGTTATCACTCATGGTCAGACCTTCGAGGACATCAAACAGTTCACACTGGAGAGAAACCATACAAGTGTGAGGAGTGTCACAAAGCCTATCGGCATGTGTCATCCTTTAGGAAACACAGGAGACTACACACTGGAGAGAAACCCTGCAGTAATGACATCTCTTTGCGGTAACCCCCAGCAGTTAGTTCAAGCAGTGTGTTTGAAACATGTCTTGATTAGTGACTCTTTCTTCTGTAACTGTAAATGTTCCATGAAACTGTTATTGTGTCATAACTATGTCCATTGTTTGTCTCGAATCTGGAATATGGGCTGTGGCATAGTTCCTGTTGTTTTCCCCAGTAGAGTCATTCATGCTTCTGGAATATCTCCCCTGGTGTGTAGGAAGGTCTGTCTCCGAGGTAGCAGGTTTTCACCCAGCATCTGGCTCCTAAATTCTTATTGGTAAAATAAAAAGATAGACCTTAGTTAACCCAACCTGAAGATTCCTCAGGTCTAAGGCCTTGGGAGCAAGGCAGCAGAAGCAGCTGCAGAGGCCCAGTCCTCAGATGAGGCAGTGAGAGTATCAGGTGCACCCGCTGTGGCTCAGATAAAAAACAAGTGTCTGCAATGCAATGATGGGAGGAAAGTTATGAGAATAGTCAGTCACTTTCTAAGTGGATTTAAAACTTTTCCACAATTGGTAACTGCTATGATATTAATTTGGTGATATACTTCTGCCTGGCTAGGTGATAAGCCCTAGGAAGAATTTAATGTTAATTAGAATTAATTCTAATAAGTGGATACTAGAAATGAACCTAATCTTTATAACTACAGAGTAAGGCACCTCTCAGCATCTACCAGAAAATATTGTGTTGTAGATGGAAAATAAACACAGATGCAAATTAGTCAAAATATAAAGAATAGTAGCCTGTGGCGAGCCCCAGTCTAAAAGTGACACCTGTGTCACACATTGTAAAAGAAGTTCCTTACACACATCTAAAGCCCGAACTCATGGATTCCTGAGGAAAAGAGGGAGAAATCCTGTCAGAGCCAGGTATAGTAGATGTCTGCATTGTGACAGTAGAAATACGGAAACATTCCTACAACAGTGTAACATTGCTAGACATGTCAGTATCCTTTCATGCTTGTACATACTGTGGCTGTTACTACCTACACTACACTTACACAGGCTAAACCCCTTCATACAGTAAGCACAGTTGCATAAGGGCCTCACCATGTATCCCTAGTGCAGGAGCTGTTGGCAATTGGCTCCTGAGGAAAAGAGTGCTCTGAGAGTCTTCCAGGGTCCTGTCAACTGTCCTCCACCCGTACACATGGAGGGAGCTCATGCGGAATAAAGAAATAACAAAGACCACAAAGTTGGGAGAATAAAGTGATTTTACTTATAACTGGCGAAGAAATGTAGAGATTTGAATAAAATATTCAATACTTATGTGTTAAATTCTCCCAAAAATATTGTTTAAAACCCTGTTGATTTTAGCCTGGTGTTGGTGGTGAACAGCTTTAATCCCAGCACTCGGGAGGCAGAGGCAGGCGGATCTCTGTGAGTTTGAGGCCAGCCTGGTCTACAGAGAGAGTTCTAGGACAGCCTCCAAAACAATACAGAGAAACCCTGTCTCAAAAAACGAACAAACAAACAAACAAACCCTGTTGGCTTTAGACATATTCCAACTTAATCTGTTTCAGCAGTGATTACAGCACCTGACTGCAGCTGTCATCAGATTTACAGAGCGACAGCATCCTACTGGGTAGGCCTCATGAGGGAGCAAGTGAGAAGACTTCCAGAGTGGCTGGGGACTAAGGGACCCTGCAGCAGAGTAACCTCAGGGAAGAGAGAGGGATGGCTTTGCTGAGATGAGATGCAACCAGATCACCTGGTATCTTCCACTCGGCTTTGCCATGAGTACAGCAGAGGAACGATGAGCAGTGCCTTGACGTCCTTCATTCCCTCACGCCTACATCCTAGTAATCACAGCTGTTCCTGGTTATCCATCATCAGAGTTAGGAAGTGTAGCAGTCAACTGAACTTGCTGGGTAGAAAGTTAGAAGACAACACATCACATACCTTCTATCATTGAGTTTTGTTTAAAATGGTATATTAACATGTAAGTGTCATGTGCACATTAGAGAAAACAGACCTGAATAAGCCTCAAGATTACACGGCAAAGAGAGCCTGCTTCCAGCTTTAATTTCTGTCACAGATCATAACAAAGAAAGGCTGCTGTGAAGGAAGTTTCTGTTTCTTAAAAATGTCTAAGATGTGGTCAGCAAAGCACCTTGAAAAAGATCGGTTTGCTGTGTGTATGGGAGTCTATGTTTTTGTTCTGCTTGAGGCTCTGCAGACCTAGTTAGTAATTTCCTCAGAACACAAGAGGGAGATTTCCTTGTGAATGGAAGGAACCTTAATGAATATGCATTTGTGTTGTATGGTATTTTTGCTCTTTGGGGGTCTACCACCCAGCACTCGAATCATCACACACGGAGTCTTCTTATTATCTGTCAATGCCTGGCCTTATTTGACTAGCTTCCTGCCAGCTTTTAATTTACATTATCCAGTCTACCTTTTGCCTCTGGGCTTTTTGCTTTCCCTTGCTTCTATTGAACTTACTGTTCCTCTATGTTCTCTCGTGTGGCTAGGTGGCTGGCCCCTGACAGCCTCCTTCTCTGGCTTCTCCCTCCACCTCCCTTTCCTTCCTTCTATCCATCCTCTCTACCTGCCAGCCCCTCCTATCCTTTCTTTCTCCTGCCTTACTATTGGGTGTTCAGTTCTTTATTAGACCAACAGGTGTTCTACACAGAGTATCAAAGCCTCACACAGTTAAATGCAACATAAACAAATATTTGCTAATTCATTTGCTCTACAAGAGAATGGTTTATTAGAGGTACAGTTTGTAAGAAGCAGAGACCCACTCTCAAGAGTAGACAGTATAGCAGAGACTCACAAGCTCAGGAGTAAATCACATGACAAAGACTCACACTATAAAGGGCAGATAGTATAGCAGAGAGAGACACACTAAGGAGCAAATAATATAGCAAAGGCAACTGTTGGTTGGTCAATTGCTAGGGCTTCTTATTGGCCAGCTCTGCCTTAATTGTTAACCCATTTCTATTAATCTAAGTATTTCCAAGTGGTCTTATCTTACCAGACAAGGGTCTAGACCTATTAGTCCTTCTTTTGCTACATGGCATCTCTTTCTGCCTCTCCCCCAGCATTCTCATCCCCGAGCCCCTCCTACCTTCCTGCCTCTTCTAGCCAATCAGTGCTTTATTCATCAACCAAGAAGAGAAAGATATATACAGAAGGACATCCCCCATCAATGTGGTACATGGATGTCTGCTGCCTTTGTTAATGATATTGAAGATTTAAAAATGTGTTACATTTGTTTCCTCTTGCCTGCCTAAGGCACCTGATAGGCCTAATAAAAAGTTGAATGGCCGATAACTAGGCATGAGAGGGATAGGTGGGGCTTGACAGGAGAAACCTAGGCTGTAGGAAAAGTTGAAGAGGACAAGGGAGAGAGGCACAAGGTAGGACCAGAAGCCAGGCAGCCTCCAGACAGCCTTGGAGAATATAGGAAAGCAAGTAATACAGAGAAAAAGAGGGGTAAAGAGCCCCGAGGCAAAATGTAGATGAGGAGAAACAGGTTAGGTTGTACTGGGTTACTTGAAGTTTTCTTGACCCCCCCCCAACAGTGGTTGTGACCTCATGAGTAAAGGGTCCGGGATAACTAATAACTGGGAATTGTTCAGAAATAGGAGCTGTTTTCAGGATAACATGATGGATAATGAGTTTCAAGAAAATGTAAAATGTGCTAAAACTGAAAAGCCAGTAGGTGGTGGTCTTTAAAATATTTTACAACTTTGTCACTTTGGGGTCCATTTCAGAATGAGAAATTACTGTAAGGGAGGTGTTGTGGAATATACTTTTTGTACATTGTGAAAATGTGTGCTTGCAAAGACAACTTGTAATTGCTTCAGTAAAAACCTAAATGACCAATATCCCAGATTTCTGGAAAGAGAAGGTCTCAGAAGAAGAAAGGCAGGGAGACTCCAAGGGAGAAAGAATTGCAGGAGGAAAGGTAAAAACCCCAGGTCACTTGGCAAAATATGTAGATGAAGAGAAGTAGATTGATTTAAGTTATAAGAGCTAGTGGGATAAACCTTAGGTACAGCCTGATCTCTCCTAATAAATAATAAGTCTCCATATTGGATTTTTTTGAGCTGGCAACCTTAAGAAAAATCCATCTACAGAGTTGAGGCAGCACATTCTGAGTGAGCAATGACAGCTGAAAGAGACATGGAGTGCCACTCTGAGTTCCCTGGGACTCAGAACACGTTAATGTGCACATAGACTTCTCCCATGCCTACCAAGTTATGTTACAAGTTAAAGACCAACCTGTGTTAGCTAGGCATTGGTGGTACATGTTTTTAATGCCAGCACTTGGGAGGCAGAGGCAGGCGGATCTCTGTGAGTTCGAGGTCAGCCTGGCCCGAAGACTGAGTTCCAGGACAACCTCGAAAGCAATACAGAGAAACCCTGTCTAGAAAAAGCAACAACAAAAACCAACCTGTGTCTCTACACTTTTGATAGACTGGTCCTTTATATATGGATTTGTCTTTAAACAAATCAGGAACTGTTATGATGTTATAGATCTATAGGCCAAGTTGCAGCCTCAGGTATAACAATGGCATATATATGAATGTATTATGTATGTATGTGTTTATATATGCAAATACCAAAACTGACAGTATTTCCACAAGAAATAACTGATACTGCAGAAAGTAGGAAACAATATTGAGACTAGTAACCAATGTATTTCTTTTTTAGTACACGAATAGTTTCTTTTTTAAATTTAAATTAGAAACAATCTTATTTTACATGTCAATCCCAGTAACCTCTCCCACCCATCCTCCCAGGCCCCCCTCGGACCTCCCATCATATCCTACTTTTGCTCCCCAGAGAGGGTGAAGCCTTCCAGGGTGATCACCAAACTCAGTCACATCATTTGGGGCAGGGCTTAGGCCCTCCCTGGTGTGTCTAGGCTGAGAGAGTATTGCTTTATGGGGAACGGGCACCAAAAGTCCACCAAAATATTTATAAGCATCAGGATAAACAATGTATAAAATGCGGAGTAATTAAGACTGCAAACAAGAAGTCAAGGGACAGGCACAGGCGGATAGAAGAGCTTGTCCCACAAAGTTAATATATGGCTTATGAACACCAGAATCCTGTAAGTGAAAGAAGGGTGGAGGACTGAGAGGTGGTTAAACAAACACAAAGGGAATTGGGACAAGACAGACATTAATCATTTCAGTATCACCTCATATCCAGATTGAACTTTGGAGACTCTAAGATTCCTACCCATCATGTTCATAAAAGTCCATGTTCCAAGGTAAGGTGTGGTAAGAATAATAAGTACATCTCTAACTCGCTCCCAGGACACCTATGATGTGAGGAGCCGCCCTCGCTATCGCTATTGCCGTTAGAAGATGGCGCTGACATCCACTGTCAGTTGGAGTTAACTGTCGCTGTCAGTTGGAGTTAACTGTCGCTGTCAGTTGGAGTTAACTGTCGCTGTCAGTTGGAGTTAACTGTCGCTGTCAGTTGGAGTTAACTGTCGCTGTCAGTTAGAGTTAACTGTCGCTGTCAGTTGGAGTTAACCGTTTAAACTGTGCCTCTCCCGTGACGTCATCTGGGGTGATGTGCAAACCACCAATCCCGGCTCTACACATCTCACTCGGAGCTCCTAGGCTTATATAAGGGGCTGGGTTTCTTAGCTTGGGGTCTCCCTCTAAGAAGCTGATCATCTATCTCTCAAGATGCATTAAAGCTTTACTGCAGAAGGATCCGAGTGTTCTGCGTCGTTCTTGCTGGCGAGACGGTAGCTCGGGACAACCTATATGTGATGACATCACATATTCTGTACCTGAGTTCAAACTGAGTCATCCAGGATGCACAACAGTCCACTTGATGAGATCTCAAATGACTTAGGACACAAACTTCTGCTAATGTCTTTTAGGGAGATTTAGTAGTGGATTATTGAGGAAATCAGATCCTCTCTAAATGTGTGCAGCTCTGAACTTTGAGGGATTGCCCTTGACAGTGTCAACAGTGCTGAATAGAAGCATTCATTGTTCTCTCCATTGTGACTGTGTATGCAATGTGACCAGTAGCATTAACCTCTGAAGGAATCATTGTATCCTGGGGGGGGGGTCATCAACTCTTGGGAAGGATGCACGTGATAGGCCTTGGAAATTCCCCCACAACTACAAGATTCACTGGAAACTCCCTGCTGAAGGCATTATAAATAGGAAGGATTGTAAGTGAGGAGATCCTCATCAGTGGAGCTGCCTGCTGTAAGCATGCTGCCCTGACAAGCAGGGCACAACGAAGGCCGAGCCTATGGGAACCTGGAATGACAGGACAAGAGATGCAAGGATGGACAGCAAGACAGGCTCTCTGATCAAGCTGCAAAATTCTATTTTCACACAAGAATTCTTACAGTGGTTGAAGCAGGAAGCTTGGGGAGGGAGGAGGTTAGGTGGGAGAGGTTGAAGCAGGAAGCTTTGGTCTTGGCAGGATATGTTCCGAGGACACAAGTCTGCAGCTGGGGGAGTCTGGACTGCAGGCCGGGTGGCAGAGGAGTGGGAGAGCCTGGACTGCAGGCCTTGAAAGTATATTGTACAGGAAGATAAGCAGACACAGAGAAATAGAAACTTGATAAGTGTTAGTCTCTAAGAATACAGTAGGAATATTAAGATGGCTTTTATTATGCTATCCTTATTTAGGGCTCTCCATAGCTGGCAATATTTACTAGAGGTCCTATATACCAATGATTTCTCCTGGCACATGCAGCCAACCGGAGTGCTTACCTTATGTTCAGTCAGATTGTAAGTATTGTTGATGCTACTAAATGTAAAGTATCCCTGTTTCTATTCTTTTTTTTTTTTTTTTTTGGTTTTTTGAGACAGGGTTTCTTTGTATTGTTTTGAAGGCTGTCCTGGAACTAGCTCTGCAGACCAGGCTGGCCTCGAACTCACAGAGATCCACCTGTCTCTGCCTCCCGAGTGCTGGGATTAAAGGTGTGCGCCACGAACGCCCGGCCCCCTGTTTCTTTTTTTTTTTTTTTTTTTTTTTTGGTTTTTACGAGACAGGGTTTCTCTGTATTGTTTTGGAGGCTATTGGTCCAGCCCGGCCTCGAACTCACAGAGATCCGCTTGCCTCTGCCTCCCGAGTGCTGGGATTAAAGGCGTGCGCCACCACCGCCCGGCCCGACCCCCTGTTTCTATGCTAATCTTCCAGTCATACTCCTGTCAACAACCCTCATAAACACATTGATTCATGAAGATAGGGACTCAAGTAGAAACTTGGCTTTGCCTTCATTAGAACCTGGTCTAATGTGAGTGGATATTCCTTCTCTCTTCCA